TTTCCTTCCTTCTCCAGCTTGATCAATGGTACCATCAGCCACACATTTACAGGCTAAACATTTCAGTCATCTTTCATTCTTCTTATTGAAATGGAAGGAGTTTTCCCTTATCCCCCTGGCAGTGCATGTGACAGGGGTGTGGGTTGCTTCTAGGGCATGTGACAGGGGTGTGGCTCACTTCTAGGGTGTGCGACAGGGGTGTGGCTCACGTCTTTGGTGCCCCGCTGCTCAAACCCCTGGGGGAGCATGCAGACGGGCAGGTCATGGGGCTCCGATCCCATGGCAGTGTCTAGGGTTGAGTGTTTACAGCTCCTGAAGCCCCAGTGGGCATGTGTTACAGTGTGCTCTTTCAGTTTTGCCATCTGCAAGTGGCTTGTGTTAATAAGTTCAATTAGACCCTCTGCCTTATCGCAAGAACAGAGGGCTTTCTGTATCCCAGGTCCTTGCCTTGGTGTACCAGAAAAATCGGATCACATGTGGACTTGGAGGACGGGTGCAATGTTTTATTGAGTGGTGGACGCTCTCAGTGAGATGGATGGGGAGACCCAAAGAGGAATGGAGTGGGAAGGTGATCTTCCCCTGGTGTTGGGCTACCCAGTGACCTGACTTTCCTCTGACTGCCCCCGGCCAAATTCCACATTGTCTCGTAGTTGACAGCCTGCATACATCTGCTGGTGCCTGTCGGCGTGCTCTTCCACTCCTTTGCTCCTCTTGGCATTCAGCCACTTGTGTGTGTGCCTGCTAGAGTGTTGGGGTTTTTATAGGCACAGGATTGGTGGGGCGTGGCAAGTGGGAGCTGTTTTGGAAAATGCAATATTCGGGTGCAAAAACAGGAGGGCCTGTCCTCACTTAGGTCTGTGGGCACAGACTCAAGGGTGGAGACCTTGCCAGGGACCCTGCCCTTCTCTACCCAGCACTTCCCTGCCCCTCTCCTGTATCACTATCCCTCACCCTCTCAATCAACTCATCCTCTAATCCAGCAAATATTATAACTGAAATTTCAGTTAAATATATTCACTTCTCCCCATCTGCACCACCCCCACCATCTGGGTCCAAGTCACCATCCTTTTTTTCTGATGCCATAGTGGCCTCCTCCTGGCTCCCTTGTCACTCACAATTCCATTTCCTGCTTTCACTTTTCCATAGCACTTGCCACTATATGAACTATCTTATTTGTACACGTATATCTTTCCCCTCGGAGCAGAAGGCAAACTCCAGGAGAACAAAGCACTTGCCCTATGTTGGTTAGTACAGTATCTCTAGCACCCAGTAGTCTATAATGACTGGTGAATAGTAGCTGCTCAATGTTGAGTGAATAAAAAGGAGTGAGCCATGTAGTATGAACCATCATTTCCCCACCACCTCCCCATCCTGCTTTGGTAGGCAGTTCTCAGAAAAATAGAAATGAGCAGAGAGCACCTTCAAAGGAATTGACTACAGTCACAGGTGCCAAATCTGGGTTTAAAACCCAGGGCCTGCTGGATGTGGAGGCTCACACCTGTAATCCCAGCACTTTGGGGGGCCGAGATGGGCAGAGATCAAGACCATTCTGGCCAACATGGTGAAACCCTGTCTCTACTAAAAATACAAAAATTAGCTGGGTGTGGTGGCACACACCTGTAGTTCTAGCTACTAGGGAGGCTGAGGCAGAAGACTTGCCCAAACTCGGGAGGTGGAGATTGCAGTGAGCCAAGACTGAGCCATTGCACTCCAGCCTAGGTGACAGAGCGAGACTCCGTCTCAAAAGAAAAGAAAAGAAAAAAAAAACAAAACAGACAAACCAGGGCTGGCCAGGCACGGTAGCTCACACCTGTAATCCCAGCGCTTTGGGAGGCTGAGGCAGGCAGATCACCTGAGGTCAGGAGTTTGAGACCAGACTGAGCAACATGGAGAAACCCCATCTCTACTAAAAATACAAAATTAGCCAGGTGTGGTGGCTCATGCCTGTAATCCCAGCTACTCAGGAGGCTGAGGCAGGATAATCGCTTGAACCCAGGAGGCGGAGGTTGCGGTGAGCTGAGATCACGCCATTGCACTCCAGCCTAAAGCTGCCCCAGCTGAGCAGGGCTTTTGCTGAACCCATGAAGCCAAGGCTCCCTGAGCAATGCATCAGTTATGTGAACAGGATGGAGAATGAGGCAGATCCTGCTCCAACCTACTTATGATGAATAGGGAGGATTCATTTGTTATTAGTAAAATCACTGGCCTACAATTAGTATGGAAGCCTGTCCTCTAATTTACTCAACAAAGAAGTCCCAGCAGGACCTCAACTTAGAAATAATTTGTCAGCAGTTAGATTCATAGGATGACAGTGCGGGAAGAGTCACTGTAAATTCTTGAAAGGAATAAAGCTGCATCCACTTAAAAATTATCCTGTAATTCCGCCTTCTCTCTGGCCTGCTCCCCATTTAATACAAATGTGTTTATTTATGATGTCTAGCTTCCTACTTCCCAAAAGAATTTGACATGGATTGCATTAAAGGCTCACTTCAAATGAAGAACGGATTTAAAATAAAAGAGATCTAGGCAACTGCGTGGTCTCCCCTGAGAAAACAGAAGGGCCCTGGAGGAGATGCAGCAATGATGTTAGACCCTCTGGCCGAGGAGGGATTGAGTGAGGCCAGGTTAGAGAGTGATCATAGGGGTGGGAGGCATAGACCTTTGGGATCGAAGGATGGAAAGATTTCAACATTCCCCTCTGGTCATGGGAGGGTGACTCTGAAATCCCAGCTCTTCAGTTGAAGGCTCCATATTTCATCTGTTGATCTGTTGAGCTTCTTTCTCCCAAAGCTGCATTCCCATTTTTCTAGTGGGTGGTGTGTTTCCTAACTCCCTGGACATATTTTCCAGGTGCAGGGGTTGAAGAGAGGAAAGAGAGTCAGAAGGGAGAGTAGAAGGGGAGATTGATCAACACCAAGTAAGGCTAATACTCATGTAGACCCTACCCTGTGCCGCATACTATTCTAAGCATCTTATATGAATTAACCCGGTCTTTGTATAATGATCCTGTTATCATCCCCACTTTATAGATAATGAGATGGAGCCATGGAGAGATTAAGGAACTTGCCCAGGGGCAGTGTACAACCATGAGACTCTTGGTCTAGGGTCCTATCAGCTGGACCATACTGTCTCTCTTTAGGCCAGGGCACTTGAGCTTGGGTTTCTCCACTACAGGGGTTACCTAGAGCAATGGTCAATGGTCCAGGTCAGCCCTGGAGTACCAGCTTCCTGCTGATTGAGGTGGGAGGGAGAGGCCAGCATGCCCTGGGGCCCCTAATCAGTACCCAGAAATTGGGAAAGGCCCCAGGAGAGTTCCCAATGCTGGCCATAAAAAAGGAACTGAAAAAGGGCTCTGTATCATGAGAAAGCCTAACATCCCCAAAGGTTGGGGAGGGGGAGATTATCCTAAATTTGGAGGGTACACACTTTGCAGAAGACCTTATTACCTATCTTACCCCCACGTAACAAAAGACACCTGTAAGTTACTTCAGAGACAAACCTGGTTTACTGAACTTCTTTAGAACGCCACTAAACACTTGCTCTCTATAATCCCCGAGCCCTGGTATAACTCTATAATTTGGGTAGGGTTGACCAGAAATTGTTAGTGTGGGGTCTGACTCCAAAGTTCAGAGGCTCCTAGTATGTAAAGGGATGGGGGGCCTCTGTGCCTGGCTGTTCTGCCCCAACCTTCCCTTTTTATGATCTGTACCTGAAAGGAAGAAAAAAACAGTAGAGGTTTCCTCCATCATAACCATAGATGATTTGGATTTCTTCATCTTTCCATTGTGAGGGAAGGATTTGCAAATGGTATGTTTTTCTGAGACTATGGTATAATTACAATCATGGCAATAATTATTCCTTTTGCTCTCTGCACTCAGACCCATAGCATAGTCAAGTATTTTCTAACTTTCTGTTTTCCCCTACTCAGCCCTGTCAATGACCCTTCAATACCCTATTCCCCCAAACCAAGTCTTCTGGGGTTCCTGGAGCTCAGCACAGACGTCAATAATCTGTGTTGCAGTTTCTTCATCTGTAAAATGAAGATAATAGTCCTGGTGTCTTAGGGCCACTGTGAAAATTACATGACTAACATATACAGAATAATTAATAATTAATACATTGCTTGGCAAATAGTAAGTGCTCAATAACTGTTAGCTTCTATTATGTTAATTGTATGGATTAATTGGGACCATGGTAATGTTACATAACAATCACATAACTTTAGTGGCATACCAGGATAGTTTGTTTCTCATTAGTTATGATGGTTGGCTAGAGGTTGGCTGATCTAGGCTGGCACACTTGCATATCTGCAGGTCAGCTGGGGCTCTGCTATAGGCTGGGTTGGCTGGGACATATTAGGTGGGCAGTTCTGCCTCACATGTCTCTCATCCTTCTCCTGGCATCGGTGGATTAATCCAGGAATGGAGTTCTCAAGGCAATGATGGGAGTGTAAATGAATAAGTGGAAACATGCAGGGCCTCTGGAAGTCAAGAATAGGGATTGACACACAGTCCCTTTTATCTCTTCTACTGGCCAAACAAATCACGTGGGGATAGGAAAGCATATACTCTCCCTTTTTGGAGGAACTCCAATGTCACATGAGAAGGGCATAGGTGCAGGCAAGGTGAAGAATAGGGGCCATTAATGCAATTGATCTATTATGTTGATTATCATCAGCCCTGTTCCTATTTAAATGCAGGCTTTGAATCTGATCTTCCAGCTGGGGCTGGAGCATCTCCACCTTACACACTTTCCCAGGTGATTCCGTGGCAGCAGGTCTGGCTTAGGGAATTCTACTCCAGGTATGCAACCAACTGATCATAAGGATCATCTGAGACACTCTGTCTGATGAAACAGATCAGATTCCTGGGCCACTCGCCTGAGAGCCCTGGAACTTGGATTTTAACACGTGCCCAACAAGGGAATGCCAATGATTTGGAAAGTTGGGAAACACACTTGTCATGCAACACCCACAGTTTTTTTGTTTTTTTTTTTTTCAGGCATAAAGATTGAGGCCCAGAAGAGGAAAAGGAAGTGACAAAGATCACCCAGAAAGAGGGTTCCAACTGCAGCTTGACTTCAGGTGATGTAGCTCCCACCTGGCCAGGTATCTTTTCCAGTATACCAACATAACTAGAGAAATTTTTATGCCTTAACTCAGTCACCATAAAGACTCAATGGAATTGAGTGTTTTAGAAAAAAAAAAAGTCATATTTTATCACCCCAAGCTTGATTTACAATGGCTTCTGACTGACTCTCTCTTTCGAACACAGACCTTTAGCAACCAAGATTTCACATAGCACACAGACACTCTCTCACGACACCTTGAGGGGTTGTAGTAGCTCCTTTAGGGTCTGCCTGAGCTGCGGAGAACCACCCGGCCTGAGGTTATGCCCTTCCTGGGTTAGTGGGCACTTGAGTGAGGGACGGTACGAAGGACTGGTCATTGTGCCCTAATTGGAGCCATTGAGAGAGCAGCGCTCACTCCAGAGCTCCCTGCCAGATTGGCCTTGTCTCTCTTGGGCTGCACCAGAGTTCAGCTCCTTCCTGTGCTCAATTCTGTTTCCTTCTGAGTATCACAGATGTTGATTCTTAAAAAAATCTTGTACCCTGAACTTGATAGCAACATCTCCTTTAGGAGAGCCTAAAAGAGGGGTCAAAGGCAGCTATGGTGGTGTGGAAGGGAAGGAAGGACGACAGCCATGGTAATTAACTTTGAAGGGAAGGATGTCAACCGTGGTAATTAACTTTGCTAAGGGGAGCACATTGGGGGAAACTGAGGTGTGTGTCAACCAAATGCAAGCTTTTAAAAGAAGCCTTGGCAGACAGAAGTGCAGGAGGCTCCTAAACATTTAAATCACCTTTTCCTATTGATTAAGGTAAATACTTTACTGATGCTGTTAGTCAATACCCCTATAAATCCTCGACGTGTGATAGCTTTACTGTGTATTTAATGTTTCTGTCTTTAATTGAATTACATCCCCCTCAGCCCAAAATGATGAACTGAAAGTTAGAAATCATGTTGGCTCTGACAAAAATGGGGCATGTTTATTTTCTTTGTTTAATTTGAAGAACTAAACCCTTTGAATGTAAGTCAGCAAGCCTGACTTTGTCAACAGTGGTTGGCCTCATCTCTTTACCTCACTGGGCCTCAGTTTTCTCACCCAGAGATGGAGAAAATGGAGACTTTGCCCATGTAAGGTAACAGCTTGGAAAGCCAGGAGGCCATAAGGGAGCCTCATTATAAATGCCTCAAAGCAGGGCTCTGTACAAAAATTTTCCAGAATCTTCTGTGGCACCCGCAGGGAGTGGACACAGTGGTCCTGGAACCTGTTAATTCCTTCTGCCACCCTCTTTCTGCACTGCCACCATCTGATTGATTTGCCCACTTAGACAGCTGAGTGTAAATATCTACCTGTCAATCACCCCATTATGCTAAGTGCCCAGCCGGCCCTGAACGGTGATTTACACTCTCCAGTGGATGGCTCTGGTCCTTGGCAGCTGTGCTGTGTGCACAGTAGGGAGAGTAAAGTACAGCAGGTTACATTCCCAGGGTCTCCACCCTAGACCCTCAGGGACATGGTCTTTTCCCGAAGAGAGGTCTGACTGAAGGGTAGGAAGCATTCTGAGATCCTCTTTTCACCCCATCCTTGCTGAGGGTGGGGAGTGACCTTCAGTGAACCTCAGAGTCTAAAGGAACTAATTTCTTCCTACAGAGGAGAAGGATCTACAACAGTGGTCCTCAAATGAATGCCACTTTGCTCCCCAGGGGACATTTGGCAATGTCAAGAGACGTTTTTGCAGGTCACGACTAGGGGCGAGCCCCCAGCATCTTGTGGGTGGCGTCTAGCGATGCTGCTGAACACTCTAAAATGTACAGGACAGGCCCCCAGACAAAGAATTGTGAGGTCCAAAGTGTCAATAATGCCACTATCAAGAAACTCGGATATACAGGGAAGAGAGAATGTTAATCAAAATGGGGTACTAGATGACTCAAAGAAACTTCCACAGGTATGTGATGATTTGTTGCAAGACTACTGTGGGAAAAGCAGGAGTTTGGGGAGATGGATAAGCGTGGTGGTGGTCTTTGGAAATGGAACAGCTAGTCAGGATTTCCCAGTGCTGATGCAGTTGTATATAACCCTCAGTTTACAGAGATGGGTTCTAAGGCTCAGATGGTGGCTAATATATAGAATTGGGATCCTTGTCTCTTGAAAAGCACATCAGGGCTCTTTTCAACATCAGAGATAGGCAATCATTTTAAGAGATTAACCGGCAGCAGCTTTCCAGTGCGTGTGCCCAGCAGGCACCTGAACCTAGCAGAAAAGAGTGCTGGGATTGATTTGTGATGTCTGCCATGGATGCAGGAAAGAGGAATGATGGCACTTGGGAAACATATTTACCTTCCTTGTATTCACCATTTTTCTTAGCCTCAACTATCCATAGAGAAATATATTTAAGGCCATTTAAAAACATATTTAGAATCTTGTTTGGCTGCATTAAAAGAGATGCTTTTAACATACTCTTCTGAAAAATAAAATTATCCAATTTTTAGTAATGCATGCTTGTTGTAGAAAATAAAGGTAAATAAAGAAGAAAATACAAATCATCTATATTCCATATATAGCCATAAAGGATAGTTCGATAGTTCCCTTTAGACTTTTATTCTACAGTGTATCTGTTCTTCTCTTAAATTTTTCTGAAATTAAATTCATGATGATTTATTGCTGTTTTTTAAATTAACACTAAAATATGTGCATAACTTGTCATTAAATATTTTTGTAAGCCTTGCTAGTTCAAAGGCTATAATGATATGCTGCACAACGGATTGTTAGCATTTATTTAATAAATATCCTGTAGTTGAACACTTGGGTTTCTTCCAGGTTTCTTTTATTTATTTCTCTCTTTTTTTGCAATTGTTACATGATAAACAAGTTATACATATATTTTTTTGAATATGGATGATTATTTTCCTACATTTAATTTTTATGAGTGGAGGAATGACTGGCTTAAAGGTTATCAGAATTATTATGAAAGTCCTCAATACATATTGTCAGGCTTCTTTTAGAAAAATGACTCTAGATTATACATCTCTTGGGAAGGAACACGAGGGCTAGTTTCTCTAAATTTTTATCAAAAATGACAATTGTTAAGTTACTGTCTTTTAAGAAATAAAATAGTGTATTGTTTTTAAGACCTGCATTTATTAATGAGGTTGAACTTTTTAAAATGATTTCAATCATTTGTATATTTTTCTTGTATGAATTGTTTGTGTCCTTTACCCTTTTTTTTTTTTTTTTTTTTTTGAGATGGAGTCTCGCTCTGTCACCCACGCTGGAGTGCAGTGGCGCGATCTCAGCTTACTGCAAGCTCTGCCTCCCAGGTTCACGTTCTCCTGTTTCAGCCTCCCGGGTAGCTGGGACTACAGGCACCCGCCACCACGCCCAGCTAATTTTTTGTATTTTCGGTAGAGACGAGGTTTCACCGTGTTAGCCAGGATGGTCTCAATCTCCTGACCTCATGATCTGCCTGTCTCAGCCTCCCAAAGTGGTGGGATTACAGGCGTGAGCTACCGAGCCCGGCCCCATTTTTTCTTTAGCATTTTTTTTCTGGCTTTCTTTCGTATAAACTCTTTAGACACACTAGTCTTTATTAAGATTAGTATATTTGTTATAAATATTTCCTCCAGTCTATTGTTTAACATGTGTGTGTGTGTGTGTATATATGTGCGTGTACATATATATGTATATATATGTGTGTGTGTATATATATGTATACATGTGTGGTTACACTGAGAAATTTTAATATATCTGACCAAATCCTTTTTTTCTTTTTCTTTTGATATTTATTACATTACTTTTAAGGTTAGACATTCCTTCTGTTTCTTAATCATATATAAATATGATTTGTATATATGCACACATAGAGAGGTGTTTACTTATATAAATAAAATTATTATATAGTTTATATAAAAATATATATATAGAGTTTCTCCTACCTTCTTAAAGGTTTTTGTTTGTTTGTTTAGTTAGCATCTAAACTTTATTATGGGCCAGAGTAAGAAACCAATTTTTTTCACTTCAAGTATTTAACTAGTTTTTTCAGTGGTTTTTATTACCTAATTCTGCATTCTCCCTCTGACATGATGCCATCACATATGATATTCTTATACTTAATAGGGTTTGTTTGTGGATTAGCTGCTGCTTTGTTTTTTTTCTGCAAGTGTCTGTAGTAGTTATTAATGATATTCACCAAAATGTCTGGCTTGCTGGTTTCTGTGAATGTGGTTGTATTGCATTACCTTGCCTTCCTAGGGTTGTATAAAGTCATGTGGCTGGCTCTGGCCAAGGAAACATGAGCAGATGTGATGTGAGTCTTTTCCCAGGTAGGCTTTACCTGTTAGTAGGAAACCACTCAGAACTCTTCTACTCCACCAGTGACCTCATCAGCTGGAGTAAGGAGAAGTGGAACAGTGTCCCCAGTCAACCTGTAATGGACACGCATCAGAAATAAGATGTAAGTCGGTTTAAAAGACACTTACATGTGGGAGTTGCTCGTTACTGCTAGCAGAACCTAGTGTGTGCTGACTGATACATATATATTAATAGTAAGTCCTCACTTAATGTCATTGATAGGTTCTTGGAAACTGGGACTGTAGGCAAAATAATGCATAAGAAAACCAGTTTTACCATAGGCTAATTGACATAAATAAGAGTTAAGCTCCTATGGCATATTTCTGGTGACAAAAGCATCACTAAATTTCTAAATCAAGACCCACAACATGTCTAATATTAAATAGTGAAATAAATGTGATATATACATATATGTAAGAAAGATTAATAAAAACAAGTAAGAGAATTATGTACCCAATTATGCCAGGCAAGTCATGGATCACTGGAGCCTATCCCAGAAGCTCAGGGATTGATTTGCCCATTTACAGCTGAGTGTAAATACCTACCTGTCAATCACAAGGTGGGAACCAGCCCTGGACAGGATGCCCTCCCATCATAGGCTGAACTTACACATACCCACAATCACTGATCCTGGGACCATTTAGACATGCCAGTTCACCAAATGGGCACAGCTCTGCGATGTGGGGGGAAACCACAGTACCTGGAATAAAATCCACGTAGACATGGGAAGAAGGTGTAAACTCGACACCGACAGGAACCCTGGCTGGGAATTGATTTTTTTTTTTCCTCATCAATGTTACAATGAAAGGATGTTGAATAAAATGACATTATTCAAGGTCCTGCTGAACATTTTGTTTTAATTGAATACATTTGAATACATGGTCAAGTAAATCAGTCTTTTTTGCTTCCTTCCCAAAAACTGTCCGGAATGATTTTGCCTATCTGTACTTCCAGGAAACTTTTTGATTCATTGTTCAAATAGTACTGCTCCTTTCACTCCAAGGTGAATCTCAGTGAGATTTGGTTTGAATTATATGAACTATATTATTAAATTCAGAAATAATTGACATCTGTTCAATGTTTCACCTTCCCATCCAGAAACATGGCATCATATCCATTTCGTTAATATATTGTTTTGTGTACTTTCATAAAATATTTTTGTATAGAGTTCTGCATATATTATAACATTTTTCTTAAATATTTTATGTATACTGTTGTTGTGTGTCTGAGGACATCACATCAGTACTCTTTTCTAACTGGTTTTTACTGCTACTTAAGAAAGCTTTTTATTTTGTATATTTGTTATGAATTCAGCTATCTTACTGGATTTTAACTGGTTCTAATAAATTTTTCAGTTCATTGTTTTATATATTTTTTCAAAATCTTTACTTTTCAAATTGAAATTGTATATTCTAATTTGAACAATTTTTTATTATGACAATTAGAAATGACACTGTGTGACTAGATCAAGTAAGACATAAATTATTTTTGCATTTGTTAATTTAGAATTATAATTTATGTATTATTAGTTGTTTTTCTAAAGTTATATGCTTTTGGTTGGTGCAAAAGAAATTCTAATGGCAAAACCACAATTTCTTTTGCACCAACCTAAAGCATGACTTTTATCTCTTCACAGACAATAGTATAAAGAACTCACATGTGCTTATCTCCTGGCTTTAAAAATTTTCAACATATAATCCTACTTCTAGGTATATACCCAAAAGACAGGAAATCGGTATGTTGAAGAGATATTTGCACTCTCATGTTTATTGCAGCACTATTCACAATAGCCAAGATTTGGAAGCTACCTAAGTATCCATGAACAGAAGAATAGATGAAGAAATTGTACATATACACGATGGAGTACTGTTCAGTCATAAAAAAGAATGAGATCCTGTCATCTGCAGTAACATGGATGGAACTGGAGAACATTTTGTTAAGTGAAATAAGCCAGGCACAGAAAGACAAATATCACATTTTCTCATCTGTGGGAGCCAAAAATTAGAACAACTGAATTCACATAAATAGAGAATAGAAGGATGGTTACCAGAGGCTGGGAAAGGTAGTTGTTGGTGGCGGGGGTGGGGGCGGGTGGTGAGTATTTGAGTATTGGGGGGATATAGGGATGATAAATGAGTACAAAACACAGAAAGAATAAATAAGACTTAGTATTTGCTATCTCAACAGGCGAGTAAAAAATAACTTAATTGTACATTAAAAATAACTAAAAGATTATAATTGGATTATTTGTAACACCAAGGATACATGCCTGAGGGCTTGGATATCCCATTTACCCTGATGTAATTATTACACATTGCATGCCTATATCAAAATATCCCATGTAACCCATAAATAAATATATATATAGTATGTACACAGAAAAATTATGAATTAAAAATTTAATAAAATATTTAACACATCACCAATCTTTTTATCTATACTAACGCAACCCCTACCTATCACACACACACACACACACACTTTTGCACTGCATGATTCTGAAGCAAACCCTGCAAGATCATTTCACTTCATCTGTATTTCATATATTCAAAATTTTAATCTTTATCAAGATTTTCCCTTCTTTAATTTTAGTTTTCCAAATTGTAGATGTTCAGGAAACCTGTGTTGGCTGTCCCAGTATGGTTTCATCCTTGTTTTTGATTAAACCAATAATGCTTGTTTAAGATAAAATTTTTTTTAAATTTCAAGCAGTAGAAAGGTATGCACAATACAAAGTGAATTAACATCTTTTCTGAGGTCCAAGTACTTCTCCCTCAAGAAGGTCACATATATTTTTTTCTTCTATATTTCAGGTAAACTTCATGTCATCTGCAAAAACAGTATCTTTGCCCCTCTCAAGTTCTGACTGAGCAAGAACATCCAGAATAATTTGGAGTTTGCTGTTTGTCTCACAGCAAGTAGAAGTGCCAGGATTCATATCCATGGAGTTTGGTGCCAGAACACATGTTTGAAACCACTATGCAAGACTTTAATACAGTAAAAAAGCATGCTTCTCTTTCCAGAATACTAAGAACTGGGTGTTGAATTCAATCAAATTCCCTTTTGGCATCTATTAAAATGATTGAATGCTTTTTTCCTTGATTTATTGATATCACATTTTGTCTTAGATGTTACCAATATTAAACCATTCTTTATTT